GGAAATGTGGTAGCCATTTGGGAGGATTCTGGGGAGAAAGGAGGGACATTGACCTTTGCTGGACAATGACTATGTGACAGGTGCTGGCTTATGTGTTATTTATTCCTGTCTGTCACTGCATATGCCATTTACACGTGCACTCATTCTTTTCTTCATTTATTATCCATTTAGTGACTCTCTCATTTGCTCTTCACAAAGAGCTTAAGAAGGTTTTAGTTTTCCTTGTTTTACAACAAGGAAGCTAACATTTAAGGCAGTTAGGGATTTGCATAACACAGTGTAGTTCATACTTCAGCAATCCTCATGTCTTACTGTGCGGGCTTATGGCATGGACTGCAGGGCTTCTCTCGAAGAGATGCTGCTTTGATAGGTTCGAGGTGGCTTCTAGTCTGCTCACAGCAAGTGGGTTGTTTGTATAATCAGGGAATACTTTGTTTTGATTTTCTTTCCTTTTTTTTTTGTGTATGTCCAAAATGTAATTTTAGGCCAGAGATACTTCTCTGTCATTCAGGTTTACACCAAGTCCTGGTTTGACATTTCAGGCAGCTGAATCTTCCTTTCTAGGCATTAAAGAAGCAAGCAAGCCAACCAACAAAAACGCCTAAAAACTCTTTTAATGCCAAAATTCCAGGGAATCGATTGACTCTTAGCCCATTTCCTTGGGATGAGATTTTAATTGACACACAGTGACTGAATCTGCTGTTAGGTGGTTCCTTTCTCAGTAGCAGAACCTGTTCTTTCCTTCCTTGTAGAATCCTCTCATCTGCGTGTCTGACCCCTCCCAGCACGTGACAAGAGTGCCGAGAGCAGAAATCACATTTCATTCATCTTCCTATGCTTCACACAGTGCGCGGCAGAGTGCCTGCATTTGTTGAATGAATATATGTTCGTTAAATCCATTTCTTCCAACTACAGATTTCAAACGGTAGATCAGGGGCATTCCACTAGCTATATAGGTGATTAACCTGTTTACTTAAAAGAGTAGTTCTTTGGCTTTCATAGCTGTTTGATAGTAAAGCTAGCATAGTCACACATTCTAAAAAATATAATGCTATTTATTCTGGTCAGAAAAGCTGTGTGGTTTCAGATTCTTAAGTAAAAGAATTTCCATCTCTTCCTTGTGATGAAATGTGTGTGAAGTTGGAGGACCAGGTAAGAGGGTGAGTAAATTAGGAAAAACTTTTCTCTCAAATGCTCAGCTATTTAATCAAAATTCCTTTAGCGTAATTCACTGGATTATTGTTGCAGACAAAGTGAGAGCATTGAGAAAGCTCTTTGGAAACTCTGGGTTACAGATATGAGGGACATTTGTAAAAAGTGAGGTTTTAAAGCAAAATAAGGACTTTTAAAAACACAGGACTTCTGGTGTTCTGACAATGCACATGTTGCCTAATGAGGAATAAAACCCTCCAGGTAATATTATCTAATGAGAGTAACATAATATTTACTGTTTTAATTATTTTAAGAATACAGTTCAGTGGCATGAAATGCATTCAGAATGCTGTGTAACCATCACTGCTGTCCATCCCCAGAATTTTTTCGTCATCCTAATCTGAAACTCGACCCAGTGAAAAATAACTTCTCATCCCCTCCTTCCCCCAGCCCCTGGTGACTTATTGCTTGCCTGTTCTAGGTACATCATGTAAGTGGAATCATTGTATGATGTGTATTTTTGTATCTGGCTTATTTCACTTAGCGTACATTTTCAAGATTGACTTGTATTGTAGCAGGTATCAGAGTTTCATTCTTTTTTGCAGATGAGTAATATTCCATTGTATATGTATACCACATTTTGTTTATCTGTTATCCATGGATGGACACTTGGGTTGTTTCTACCTTTTGGCTGTTGTAAATAATGCTGCCGTGAACATTGGTGTACAAGTATCTCTTTGAATCCCTGCCTTTAGTTCTTTTGGTTAGGTACCTTGGAGAGGGAAAAAGCAGACCTTTTAAACCCTTATTTTTGCCTGTGCCTTTGTGCACAGAGATACTTTTTTTTTTTTTTTTTGGTTATCCAGAGCATGTTCATGCCCTAAAGTGAGCATTGCTTTCTTCACCTTCAGTGTGCTGTAGGCCTCGGTCCTTTCCCCAGCCTCCTCCTTCTCCCCTGAATTCAGTAGTTCAAGATGCAGCAATGAAAGATTCTGGAATCTGGCTTTAACTGCTATGTGCCTGTGTTGAGGTCTATTTAAATTAGGCCTAGTCATTGGCACTACTTTGAGGAGTGACAAGGTGAGCTATAAGAAATTAAGTTGAGGGCAGAATATAAAGGTTAACTTAATAGAAATGGAAAAGTGTCATGAGAGCTCAGCTTTAATTCAATTATAAATAACTATCTGCTGGACATTGTTGAAATACAACAGAGAAAGAGACCAGAGCTGTCATGCTAGAGGAGGTGCATGCATACGTAGTCAACAGTGAATAGCTGTACAACATGTTATTACCACTCATTTGTTTACTCAGCATTCATCAAGCACCTACTAAGCACTGTTCTAGGCTCTGGATATACATCAGTGAACCAGCCAAAGTCCTTGCTCTCCTGAAGCTGAACTTCTGGAGGGGGAAACTGGACAATAAACAAGAAAATACACAGTGTGATGGCTGTGTATTTTTCCTGTGGAGAAAAATAAAGGAAAATAAGGGGTAGAGAGTGATAGGGCTGGGTGTGTTTTAGGCGGGCTGACCAGGGCAGGCTTCTCGGAGTCAGTGACTTTGAGCACAGATCTGAATGAAAGGAGGGAGAGAGTCAAGGTGATACGTGGGTGACAAGAGAGCTTGGCAAAGGAATAGCTGCAACTACTGGAATCTTATATTCCAGAGATGGATAAAGAGCTTTGGGACTTAAATTGATGGGACAAATAAATAAGTACATAATCCCATGGCACTGTAAAGTTATTTTTTACTTAAACACTCAAACATTGTTTGCAAGAGAATATTCAATGGCAAGGTAATTGCATTTCAGAAAAAATGAATATTTCAAAATGATAAAGAATCAGTGCCAGGAATTAGGAATCAATCTCTCTCTCTCTCTCTCACACACACACACACACACACGTGTGTGTGTGCTTGCATTATGAGTGTGTGCGTGTGTGCTTGCATTATGAGAGCTTCTATGCATGTGATCTTGTCCTTTAAGGACAGATTGAGAAGTCAGAGGATGAAGGGAAAGGTCTCCCAAAAGGAGAGGATGACCTGAGCAGAGATGCCGAGGTAGGGATGTGCAGTTGATGTTTAGGTAATGAAGACGGGTCCCCATGGACTAGGGCAGAGGATCCAGCTTGGAGATTATAGGAATAACTTTGGAAAGATCAATGGAAGACCAAGAGGAAAAAGAGAGCTCTATGCTTTCTTATTTTTTAAGTTGCTTTGTGACTCTTTAATTTATCAGATGATGGGGAGAAAGAATCATCACTTACTCCTCAGACTGTATGCTGCTAGTGGTGGTGACTGTAGATATCAAGATGCTCCCTGTCAACAAAAACACTGTCTCTTAAGAGCTGCATTTTCATTGGTTGGCATGCAAGCTGACTGTGAAAGATTTAAGCAGTACTAAAGGGTAAGAACCAAAGAAACATTTCCCCCAGTGCCCACCAGCCCTCCACCCCCATACCACTCTTTGGAGGCAGTTGTTAATTATTTCTTCTTGCTTAGCCTTCCTGTTATTCATTCAGTCAACAAATACTTATTGAATGCCTGTTATGGACACTGGGGATACAACAGTGAACAAAAGTCCCTGTTCTCAAGGATTTTAGTGGGAGGAGACAGTAAACATCAAACACATTTGAAATGTTTTTACCAAATGGAATTACCCTATACATACTGCTTTGCAACTTGCTCTTTTCACTTGACAGTACGTCTTGGACATCTTTCCATGTCCTACCTTTCTCAGTGATAACTAATATTTACTGAGCATCTACCATGCTCCAGGCACTGTCTCAGCAATCCTCTATAAGTGTTCTAATTATCACCTTTTTACAGATGAGGAACTGAGGCCCAGAGGGGTTTGGGAACTTTCTCAATTACCTGGCCAGTCACTGGTGGAGCCAGATCCGAACCTAGGCGATCTGATCCTTCACTGCAGCTCTACCCCCACCTGATGGCTGGCTAGTACTCCTTTGTATGATGTACCTTTACATACTTAGCCAGTCGCCTGTATATTTAAGTCATTTTTAGTTTGATGCTATCAGAGTGCAATAATAAATATTTTTACAGATATGTTTGCACATATTTGTGATCAGTTGTAAGGTAAATTCCTAAGAGATGGAAACATATACTTTAAAAATATTTTATCAATTTCTGTTCTAACAATGTCAGAGAAGGTGCAGATTTCCTTAAACGTTCTTCAGCAAAGGGAATTACCAGACTTAGAATAGTGTTAGTATAATAGATTAAGTATAGCCTCTCTACCACTTTTTAAATTTTTAAAAAATTTAAACTTTTTTCATTATAAATATTAAAAAAAAAGATTGCTTTCTCATTTAGACTGTTCTTGGTTTTTTTTTTTAAATCATGCAAGGAAGAGGGCCATTACTCTTGTTTCAAGAAATCCACCCTTTCTTGTGACTGTGGAGCCCTGGCAGGGAAAGGCCCTCCTTTTTCTCTGATCCAGCTGTCTGTGGAAACCTGAGGGCTCAGTACCATGGTGTTTTAGGAGAGTGGAGATGACAATGCACAGAGAATTAGCTTGCTCTGGTTAGAAAGACATGACTAAAACATACTTGGTTTCAGTATTTCATTGCAGATCTGATGCAACATCTGGAAAATCCATAAATGGCTTTAGATGTATTTAAAAGGAGCCATAATCCTTTCTTTTAAAAATAGGCATAAACCAAAATATTTTGTTCTCATCTAATCCCATCTTAAAACCCAGAAGCCTCTCAAAGTCTAAACTATAAAGTTTAAATCCACTTCCTGTGTGCATTTGTTCTTCAGCATCCTTAGGGTTAATTATTTGCTTCCTCTGAGCTGAAGTTAAGGATGTTGGGAAAGAAGAAGTGTCATGGCTCTGCCTATTACATGTTGCTTGAGTGTGCTTAGCTTTCGTCTGTCAGAGTTGAACTCTCCGTGTAATGATAAAAAAAAATTGACATTACTAATTCCTTCATCTCTGGGAAAAACAGGTGGGAACTCCAAAGATGTTTACTTATCTCCCTCAGTGGAAGGCTGATAAAAGTTTGGTAAGAGAAAGCGGTAGCTGATGACCCCTTGCGTTGTCCGCTTCCATCCTTCTGAACTCTTGGTTCCCACAGAAGAAGCCATCCTGCCAAAGCCAGCCTCTAGGGAGCTTCCTTTTATTTCCCTAAGATTAACCAGTTCCGCCCTGGTTGCAACAGCAGGCAACTATGGAAGGAGAGGCTCTTCTGGGCTCTTAGTATTTTTCCGAGGACCGTTTTCCCCTCCTAATTCCTCACTGGTAGTGAAGCTGCTTGCCTGCAACGCCTTCCTCTTTTCTGATGAGATGCTGATTCTGATCTGCCATCTAGCAGCTTCCGGTAGTGGTAAGTGGTCAAGTGTTTTTCCTGGAGTTGATCGCAGGTTTTGAAGAATGTCCCCTGAGACCTAGTTTGTTTTCTATGTAATTACTAGAGCTTTCAGAATAGCCGTGCTTTTCTCATTGTTCTCATTGATATGGTCACGGAATGGGTACCTGTCTGATCTTGCTGCACTGCTGGGAAATCTCCCTTTTAGAGGAGAGAGTTAGGTCCAGGCTGAGGTGAGTCTGGGAAGCATTCACGTTGGTGGGACCAAGAGGAGAGTTAGTGCTGGGCTGTTTGGGGCTTTCTGTTTCTCTTTTCCAGGTTGCTGTTTTGTTTTGCTGTTTTTGTCTTCTGTGTGGTTGACGTTCAGCAAGAAGTCTTTATTATTTTCCTTTTATCAAAAAATAATTTGGGAAAAGTTAATTGGACATGGGAAATAGGAGTTTTTTTTCCTTTGAAGTTCAAATTTTTATTGTTAGCAATCGCCTATTACATGGCCAATGGGAGTGGCGTCAGTGTCCATTTCTTGGTTTGTAGGTACTTGTCATTTCCTTTGATAACAGTATGTTTTAGTTTTTTCCAGGGGGTTTGTATCTGCTACACCTATTCGAGATATTATTTGTTTTATGATCAATTCATGCTTTGGACATGAACAGTTTGTCACTAAACTCTCCTTCTGAGGCTTGGGGGTATGTTTTTTAGTGCTGAGATTTGTCTGAACAGAAAAATGGATTCTTGTACCTGTTTTGTTGATAGACATGAGAGAGTCTCAGGTTCCTGGTTAACAATGAGCTGTTTTGAAGAAAAAGCAGACTAGTGAGAGTCACTAATTGGAGGCTGAAGGCTGATTAGAAAGGAAATGAGGAAATACAGTGTTGTGTGTGGGGATACCAACACCTGTGTCCAGGAACTGTCACCTTTGCTCTGGTGGTGTTCCCTGCTAGCCTTTACTGCAGAATGTGAATTCAGAGACAGTTTTGTATCCATATTTATTTATCTTGTGTTTTTATGTTGTTTCATCATGCATGCATCTTTAAAAATGAGGGACCAAGTGATTTTTTTGTGCCCCTGGAGGATTTTTTTTGTGCTCGGGAGGATTTTATTTTGTTCTTACATGGTAAATTGGACATTTTCACTTAGTAGGAAAAAAAAACTTAACCTATTGTTCCAAAGTAAAACAGAAATTGTAGCTCTTCTTGAAATTAAACTTCTTTATTTATGTATTCTAGGTACTTGCATGGCACATACAAGAACCATATGCTAGTATTTGTTTTCAGGATTTCTCATGAAGTGATGTTAAAGAAAATGGGAACCTCCAAATGTTCCACAATTGTAGCACATGCCAACAGTGTTACTTGACTTCTTAGCAATAGTAAATATTTTCTAAATATTAACAAATAAAAGTCTGATTAAACATTAAATATAAATATTTAATATTGATCATTGTATTTTTGGGAACACATTCCTTCCTTGATTTAAGCCTGCCTTTTTTTCCTCTCTCCTCTTCTTCATTCAGTGCCAGTTTGTTGAGCACCTTGCCTACCCCATGCCAGGCTCTGTACTAGACACCCAGAGAAAGAGCATGCAGTGGGAAGGCCACAGCACTTATTTTCAATACATCTTTCTCTGGCCTTTCTTTTGAGGTTGAGTGTTCCCTCGGACTCTCTGTCCTTGTCCTCTCACTGACTCATCCTCACCCGCTGTCTTCTCCTCGCTTCTCTGTATTCTTGTTCTTCCTGAGTGAGATCATTCATTCCCCATGACTTCAGTGCTTCCTTATATGTTCATGATTCCATGTCTACAAATCTGTCTTTTCTCTTTCATGCTGAGGATATTCTCAGTGATCAAGAGGTATTTCAAGTTGAAAGTGTTCAAACTGAATTCATTATTCTCCCAACCCAGTTCTTGCTCCTGCTCCTTCTCCTCCTTCTCCCTTCGGTGCTGTATTTGTCATTTTAGTTAATGGCACCTCTGTCCTCTCATTGTCCTGAGCCAAAAACCTGGAAATTATCCCAGATTCCTCCTTGTTTGGCACTCCAGCATGTGGACCATCTGTAAACTTTGTCAATTCCAACCACAGAAATGTTTCTAGAATCCAGCTGCACTTCCCTGTTGTCATTGCTCCCACTCTTTCCATGCCAGTCCTTGCTGTGAGAGTAAAGCCATCCTAAAAACTCTGATAGCATGCACCTGCATGGAGAGACTCAAGGGAGCAGTGATAATGGACAAGGGGGCCTGGATTCCAATCACACTGTTCTTTCTGCAGGGAGACCTCTTGTGCCTCCCCATTATCTGAAGACCACCCATAGGATCCTGACCATAGCAATGCTTTGAGTCACCTCATCTATCAAATGGGGATAATGGCAGTCCCTGCCCATAGAGTTTTGGTGACAGTTAAGTGAGATTAATTCATGACAGTGCTTAGCACAAGGCTAAGTACCCAGTGAATGGAAGCGATGATGATGACAGTGATGAAAATGATAACTTCTTTCAGAATCCATCTCTTACCTAGCTTGCCAGCCCCATGTCACACCACACTCCTCCATGCCCCCTGTAGTCTGGTTGCCATGACTCTCACTACTTCCCTTCACAACACTTGGTCTTTCCATATGCTGTTCCCTTTGCCTGTTCTTGCCTCATTTTATTGAGCAGACTCTTCTTTTCAAAAGGACCTGATTTGGAATCACCATCTGTGAGGTCTTTGCTGACTCTGCAAGACAGCCTTGGTGGCCCCCTTCCCTCTGCCTCCATAGTTCTCAGCTCCTCCTTCTGTCATAGTCCTGCATTTGCCATTCTAATGACCTTTCTATGTGTTTGTTTCCATCTACCCCAGACCCTGGGCTTTTGAAGGACAGAGACGGGGCCTAATGATCCTTGCCTCTCTCTCCGCAACCTAGGTTTGACATAGAATAGGCATCTGATTCCATTGCACATCAGTTGGGATGCTCTCAAATTTAATAAGAGATTTACTACTTATGCAGAGTCCAAAACACATTTAAGAAAAATGAAGTGAATAATAGCTTTCATTTCTTGAATATTAACTTTGTAGCAGAAGGCACTGTGCTAATTTTTTTTTTTTCAGGCAAGACCTCATTTAGTTTGCTGAACGATCCCATGAGTTACCCTGATTGTCCCTATTTATAGATGAGAAAACCAGGGCTTAGAAGGGAGGGGAACTTACTGCAGTACAGAGCTAACAGACCTGGCCCTCTGACTCCAGCGCTGGTGGAAGAAGAGGGAAGTGAGAAGGGGAAGGAAGATGACCAAACCAGGAGAGGCATGTTTGGTGGGAGAGGACAGGGTAGGGACAAGGAGGGTGAAAATGCACATGAGAGGCAGCGAGAGCAGGCGAGGAAAGGAAGAGAAAGGATAGAAAAGGAGACCAGGAGACGAAGCTGGAAAGAAGCAGGGGATAAACAAGAGGAGGAAGGGAAGCAGGATTCCCACCACTTTAGGATTTTGTGGCTGGGTAACAGCTGTGTGCCTAGCACAGTATAAACAGACTTCACTGTTGACATGACAACTCACAACAACATCAGTCTGATGTACTTTATTCGGGAAATGGAATAATTTATTGCTGAGGCATGGTAATTAGGTATAATTGGTAGGCAGTTTATACGTTTGGCTGCACTAACCCTCACTTTGGCAAACACACACACAGACTGGCTTTAATTTTTAAAATTTTAATTCTATTTTTGCTCAGTATATACAATCTGTAAGCACTATGGCTTTTGGCAGCTGTCACTGACACCAAATACGATTAAAAAATTATCTGTAGCTCCCACTCTCACATCACACTCAAAGCTACGCACATGCAGGACCGAGGCCTAGGCTTATTCCTTACCTTATCCATCACTGGTCTCACCTCCCAAGGCTGAGATTTCCCTGCTGCACCAGGATCTCCCTTCTCTGGAGTCTTAGAGCTGTGCTTCAGCTCCCCTTGCCCCACCCCGTCCCTCGGAGGCCTGGCACATAGGTAGGGTTGCCAGCAGATATGCCTGCAAGGTCACCCTGTCCAGGGATGGGAGGATTCTCTGAGGCTTTGCTTTTCAGCCTCTGGGAACCTAGAAGCAGAGTGAAGAAAGGGGCAGGGGCAGGACCGGAGAGGATGAAGGGCAACACGCAGACAGAAGGGGCCAATTCCCTAATCCTGCCATCCCATGTCCCATCCTTGGCCCCCACCAGTGCTTAGTCAGATGGATGCTTCAAGGTTCACCTAGACGCGGCCTGACACTGGTCTCCCAGGAAGCCCTCCTCCCCTCCAGTCTGGAGGGGTCAGGCCTCAGAAAGGAGGTGGATTGGGTTGGGAAGTAAGTGCCTTAGTGAGAAATAGGAAGGAAAGTTGGGGAAACAGGAAAGGAAACTGAGAATTTGGAAGAGGAGAAAAGGGGAGGAAGTAAGTAGGAGGAGAGAAGACAGACTGCGGGAGGGGGAGGGAATCACATTATTATGGAGTGAACTGTATTTACAACAGCCCTGGGAGGAAGTCATTATTACCTGTATTTTGCAGATTGAGTCTTAGGAAGGGTAAGTGACTTGGTGAAAGTCACACTAGATAGAAAGTAACTGAGCTGAGATTGGGATCCGTTATCCTACAAGTCTCTCCTGTATGGTACAATTCTCCAAAGGGGAGAGGAGGCAGAGCTGGGAAAGAGGAAGGCAAGCAGAACAGAACAGACTGAGGAATAGAAGGGGTGAGGTGCAGGAGGGCTGAGGGCTGGGCCTGGGCTCCTTGCAGCTATATGGGTTTTCCCTGCTTGGTCCCTCTTGTCCCTGAGTCCTGAGAACGGGAGAGCACCCACTCAAAGGAAGTAGGGGATCCCCCAGTGGGGACACTCCAGTCCCTCCCTTGACCTGAGATGAAGCCAGGCAGAGAGCGCTCCCCAGGCACCACTCTGGGCAAGTCAGGAATCTGCCTGCGCTGCTCTCCTGGATTCAACTGCTCCTCCTGTCTCTTCCCCACCTGCCCTGGCCACTACCTTTCCCGTTTCTTTCCCAGTCTGCTCTGATTCCTTTGCCTT